AAGTCAAAATACAAAACCAATTGTATTTTTATACTAATGAATAATGGAAGAATAATACTAAGAAAGCATTACTATTTATAATAGTACTGAAAAGAATAAAATTAATCAAGAATATAAAGACTTATACAGTGAAAACTTTAAAATATTTTAAAAGACACAAGTAAGTGGAAAGCCATCCCATGTTTATGGTTTGAAATGCTGAATATTGTTTAATTGTTTATACTTCCCAAAGAATCTACAAATTCAAAGCAAGTCTCATAAAAATCCTAGTGACATGTTTTCTAGAAGAGAAAATAATCCTAAAATTTACCACAAAGGAACATGAATAGTCAAAACAACAGTTAGCAAGAAGAACAAAACTGAGAGACCTCACTTCCTCACTTAAAAATATATCACAAATCTTTGATAATTAAAGCAGCATGATAACTGGCATAAAAATAATTTTATAGACCAGTGAAATACACAGAGGATATTAAGTCCAGAAATTAACACACACATATATGATCTTTAACAAGTCTGCCAAAACTACGTAATGGGAAAAGAATAGGAAAAGAAATAGGGAATGTATAGCGTTTCACTTACACAAGATGAAAAACTTGTATTGATCTGTTGTACAACACTGTGCTTATAGTTAATAATACTTGGGGCATTCCTGGTGGCACAGGGTTTAAAGACAGAGTGCTATCAAGCTATAAGTAGCCACTGCAGCATGAGTTAGATTTCTGGCCAGAGATCTAAGCCACATGGCACAGCAGACCTCTCCTGTCTTGCCAGCTGCTCCCCTCAGCAGTGTATTTCAGTAGATCTGCCTGTTCTGCTCCCCACTCTGTCTAGCAAATCCTCTTACCTCCTGCACCTCTGGCCTACACCCCAGATCTTGTGTGCATAAATAAATAAATCTTAAAAAAAAATAATACTCTGCTGGACAACTTGTAATTTTTTGGAAAGGACAGATCTCATGTTTTGTGTTTATTTCACAATTTTTAAAAAGTAACTACAAAGCTTATAGAGAAACACAAAAAATAATAATTTTGTGACCTACAGAAAAATATTTCTTAGATACAATAACAAAATTATGATGTATAAAATGAAAAAAGATAATTGAACTTCATTAAAATTATGTGTTTCTCTTTGAAAAACACTATTAAGGGAATTAAAATGCAAGCTTCCAACTGAGAAAACATTTGCAAATCATAAATTAGTGTGCTGCATCCTGAATATTTAAAAACTACACAACACACACACACACACACACACACAAAGCACTTAAATATATACTTAATTTTAAAAGAATTGTTACTACATATTAGAATTTTTTCACTTTTTTCACTATACAAAACAATAGTGAGTCTGTGAAGTAACTATAATTCCCACATGCTGCTGGCCAGAATGTAGAAGTCATAAGCATTTTTTAAAATAGTTGGGCAGTTCCTTACATAATTAAATTATACATACTACATGACCTAGCTATTTCAGTCCCAATATATACCCAAGAGAAATGAAATCTATGCATGTGCTTTATTCAGAGCAATTTTGTTAAAATAGGCCACAAAAAAAATTCAAAATATTTCAAATGCCCATCAGTAGTTGAATGGATAAACAAACTGGGTTATAGCCATAGAATGGAATACTATAATGCAATAAAAAATGAAGTTGATATTGACTCTGATGAGTGAAAGAAGACAGAAAAAAGTACGTATTGTGTGATTCTACTTACATAAAAAACTCTAAGAAATGAAAACTAATCTATAGAGACAGGAAGCAGATCGATGGTTGCCTGGGAAGGAGGGTGTGTGGAATGGGATGAGAAAGCAGTAAGAAAATATTATTAAGGGGACAAAAAGAAACTACTGAAGTAGTGGTTATATGCAACACCCACATTGTAGTGAAAAATTTGTGTGTGTGTACATCAAAACTTATCAAATTGCACTTTCATTATGTTTAGTGTTTTGTATATCAAAATCACAGTTCAATAATGCTGTTAAAATTTTCCTCAGACAGCTCTCCAATGATCTCAGTTGGTTTACAAGGGGTTAATGCGGCAAAATTCTCTCAGGTAAAGGATAGATCTGAGGTTAAGACTTAAATGGGGCCTCCCTGGTGGAGGTGCAGCGGTTGAGCTCTGGGTTGCAAGCTGCCCGCAGCCTCTGCAGCACCGGTTCACTCCCTGGCAGCCAGGTGAGGGTCCCACATGGCGCACAGAACTCTCCTGCTGCCCTCTACTCCCCTCAGCAGTGTACTTCGTCCTTCTGCCTGCTCTGCTCTCCGCTCTGACTCTGGTGAATTCTCTCACCCTCCCGTGCTTCTGACTGTACCCAGTGCTTGTATAAATAAAAATAAATCTTAAAAAAAAAAAAAAGACTTAAATGAAGACACAATGTGCACTCTTCCTGTGAAAGTCAGTAAGAACTAGGTTGGGACAATATCTATGGAAATGGAGGAGAGTGAACTATCTTGTTTGTTCCTACAGGGTCACCTAGGAGGGTATTACCCTAGCCTAAAAAAACAAAATCTGCAAGCTCATTTTGTCCCTGAAAGTCCACTATAGCTTTATGAAGAATAACATTTTCTTTATCTCATTCAGTCTCAGATTTAAGATAATTCTTGGAGCCCCAAAAGGCAAAGTACAGCTCTATAAGCTTCATAGCATTAAATAGTTTCACCATCATATTTTCTATCACCAAGTATCTGTCTTTTGCACTTTACTCTGTGCAAAGCTCTAAACTAATCACTACATAAAGGCAAAGGAATTATACACACAGTGTTGGAAAATGGGGACTTTCATACACATTTCACAAGATGAACAACAGAATTAAATGACTTCCTTTCTGAGCCAGTAGTGAATTACAGGGCTGGTGCTAATGTCCAGGGTTTACCAATTTGGCTTCTAACTGAGTATTATGTAATCATGATATGTACTTGTTAGGATATTATGTATGTGCTAATTGGTATGTTGACAGCTACTGCCCAAAAGTTCAACATCTAGCTTGAATGAAAACTTTGTCTCCTATATCAGCCTTTGTTTTACTGTAGTCAGGCTGAACTCAGAACAAATAAAATTACATATAAATGTAACCTTGCATTTTCTTTTCCCCCAAAGGTTCTAAATAACTTTGCTGTAATTCTTTGGGGATGATTTTCATGAAAAATTCTATAATCTTCATTAGTATATTTCTCAGTATCAGGTGCTTTCAAAGCTGTGCTTTATCCAAATTGTGTTTTTGTCAAAGGGGATAATGTAAAAAGTCTATTGGGATATTGCTAGGAAACTTAAAAAATTACTTTCTGTATCTAGTTAGACCAAGTAAATTTTTAACTCATTTCTTTTAGGGCAGAATTATGTATCAATGAAAACTTCAAGGGAATAAAAATTAAGCACTGAAACTAAGATTCTTTGTCTAAAAACAAGTCTGTCAAGACAAGATTATTATTTATGGGGATTAAGGATAGCCTTTAGATGAGTAAACAATTTAAGCCTAAAGCTACAGAATTACACATAGATGCATAGATGTTTCTATAATTCTTCCTCTTGCTCATTATTTGCTATTCCCCCAGATTCAGTCATGAATTATTGGCCCTAGGGCCATATGCACACCACTGGGGCAAATTCTCAGTGCTGCTTGATCTGACCAAGGCCACATTCCTTACATGATAGGTAGGTAGGTAGATAGGTAGGTAGGTAGGTAGATAGATAGATATAGATAGATAGATAGATAGATAGATAGATAGATAGATAGATAGATAGATAGATAGGTGATATAACTATAATATATGGTGTGAATAATATATATATAAGGGTTTACTCAAAATAGAGATTTATCTTGAATAATAGATGACCCTCAACAGTGCTATGCCATTCTCCAGCCAACTAGGACCTGATGCTACAGAATATTGAGAATCTGACAACTGTTGGGATAGTTTACATGAAGTCTATCTTATTTAAAATGCTAGAACTTCACATAATTTTGAAATCTCACCCTTGATATTGTTATCTTGAACAATAAGTAAATTTGAAACATTATAACTTCTCAGTTCTTTAAGTTTTACCATGTATCTGGTGCCTCCTAATATAAATCATACAAGAAATTTTTGTGAACCTAAAAGAAAGAAAAAAAAGCCTCTATGAGTCTGAAGCAGATAGGTCAAAAGTAAACCTAACTGGAAGTAGAGGTAACATAAATTGTGTACAGGGCAAAATAGCAATTTTCAGCAGCAGTCAGAAAACTGGGAAAATGAGAGATCAGACAACTGCCAAAACCAGAACGATTGTCTATTTTCTAAGCTACTTAAGATTAATTCACTTAGTTGTTGGGTTGTAAACCTGAATAAGAAAAACAAGGGAAGACTGATAAATTGTCATACCACAGTGGATTAAAGAGACATGACAAATAAATGCAATGTGATATTCTGGATTAAATTTTGAAAGAGAAAGAAATTGATGTAAAGTTTGGTGAAATTAAGTAAGCTTTGACGGTTAGTTAATAGTAGTAATGTATCAATGTCAGTTTCTTAGATTTGACAAATATACATCAAAATAAGATGATAAAGCATTAGGCAAACTAAAACCAGATAGAAGTTTTACAGGGCATCTCTTTTCAATGTTTTTGTAAATGTAACATCAATTTTAAAAATGTTTATTTAAAAATTAATAAGGCAATATTTTTATTCTGAAGTAGATGAGGCATACTTATATAAATATAACTAACTATATTATAAAGAGACCAACTCAATCAATGATAGTTTAATGAAAGAAATCACACAGTACAATGGAGCATGAGACTAGCAGATCTCTAAGTCCAATTTGTGGTTAATGAAGAATACCTAAGGTAAATCCTGAGGGATATATGTAGGATTCAGCAATACAGTAATGGGTGACCAGTATTGCTAGTAGAATGAAGAACATGAGGAATCCATATCACTAAGATGATAGGGAAAGGCAAAGGATGAGATTAGAAATGGGAATGGATCAGGCCATGGGAATGAATTAAAAAAAGAAGACAATGCTCCCTTTGGCAGCACAAATACTAAAATTAGAACAATACAGAGAATATTAGCATGGCCCCAGTGCAAGGATAACATGTAAATTTGTGAAGCACTCCATAAACAAATTAAAACAGAAGACATATGAATACTGAACAAGTATATGAATAGGTACTCCATATCACTAACCATCAGTGGACTGTAAATCAAAATGAAAATGAAGTATCACATCATAGCAATTAGGAGAGCAACAACAACAATAAAGAAAAGAACAAGTGTTGTTAAGGACATGAAGGAATAGTGTTAAACTTGTACAGATATAATTAAATATAACTGAGGAAATCAAATACTTAAAGTAGCTTGTATGGGGGATGAAAGACTTGAAATGATAAATTTTAATATCCACAAAGAAATCCCCATAATCATCATGAAACAAGAAAATGTATATACAATTTTAAAGATTGATCCTGAAATTTAAATGAAAGATAAAGGTGTCAAGAAGAAGAAGACAATATTGAAGGAAAAATAGCAAAGATATGGCTACTTCACTACCAGATATCAAGGCTTACTATAATGCTAAAGTAATCAAACAATATTCCATATGTCAAATATGATAATGTTGACATTGTAAGTCTCTGGGAATAAATGGAATATTCAAGAAATTGGCTTGAAGGTGTTATTTATACACATGGAAGAAATTTTAGATCTCTACCTCATGTTATTCCAACAACAAAAATAAAAATAAATCAGTGACTTAAAAACAAATTGGACCAAGAACAAAAAAGAGAAGACAGGTAATTGTTGAATTTTTTGAACTGAGGTAGGCAAATATTCATTTTTTATCAAGACAGAAAAGCACAAGGCACAGAATAAATGACATGTGAATACTACATTAATATTTAAAAAATCCTTTATGAAATAATATCACAGTTCAGAAAATAACTCAAGATATTCTGAATGAATATAAATGATAATGGATTGAAATCCAAAATATTGAGACATTCTATAACTTTAAATAGACATTTTTTCAGAAATTTTTTAGGCCAATAAATTCATGATACATAATATTTTACTAATTGTAAAATGAAAATTCATAATAATATTTCACACTTAACTATTGGTAAAAAATAACATTTCACACTTAACTCTTGGTAACAAAGTCTTGGCGTTGTTGTTAAATAATACAGAATAAATTTTTATATTCTATTGGATTGTAACAATCTTTTTGAAAAGCAATATGGTAATATATAGGAAAGCATGAAAAACAATAAATCAGAACAATGGGAAACAAAGTCACAACCTACAACTTTTAAAAGCAAGTAATAAAAAGAAAATTTTCAAAATAAAAATCTTCCAACTACCTTTCCCTACCTTGCTGCCTCTGATAGGGTCAATGGAGAGCAGGTGTTTTTGTGCTTATTCTTTCTTTTTCACCACCTTCTCCACTTCTGGCTACTAAACACCCCAAGAGCCAGGACAAGAGAGAAAAAAATTTAGAAGTAACAGAGCAGTAACACTTGGCTATTGGAGAGGTTCATCCATTCAAATGTGATAGATGCACTGTTTCATTTCCCATTTGGGGAGCATTTTTACTGATTTTTCAAAGTTCTTCTACAAAGACCACTGATTATAGTTCTCAAAAGACAATCCACAACTCTTCTGCATGGTATGGGACAGGTGGACAAATAAGGCATAGGTTCCCCTGTCTAGAGAAACCCTCTGATCTTTTCACATCCACACATTAAAAAAAAATGGAAGTTGGTGTGCATGGACTGGTACAGACAGGTTCCCAATCTATGAACATACTCTGCTTAGGTATAACTGCAGTATTCAGAGGAGGCATTTGGTCTCTTTTACATTATTCTTAATTTCCACTGAAATTGGTGAGATAACTTAGATTTTCACAGTCTGTTAAGCTAGTTTTTTTAATTCACACTTTTATGAGAAATCATCATATTCTCCTAAAGCCCATAGCCTACTTTCTTACCCTTGCTAATAGTCTCTGACTGGATCACTCTAAGCTAGTCTCTAACACTGAACTAATCTGAATACCCTTTGCTATGACAAATTTAATTATCATTTTCTAAATCTCGGCCTTACTGCCTCTGCATTCTCCATCCCTATCTCTACCCCTGCTCAGGATTATTTGTTGTAGACAACAAAAACTAAATTTAGTAAGTTCACACAAGAAAGGAATTAATTAGAATATGGCTGAGTTCACAGAATCAGCTGGGAAGCTGGAGAACTGTATTTAGATGGAAATTAAGATGGAGAAACTGCAGACCTAGTCACAAGAATGATCTGTTTTGGAGGCCTCCAATGTTATCATTCCTCATTCCATCACCAGGCTATCAAGTCCTGTGCAGCTGCAGTAAATAACCTCTTTTCCTGGTCCACCTTTTGCTTTATTTCCATGAGATTTAAAGTCCAGTAGGAACACAAACTTAGCCACAGTTAAAGCATAGGCCCACAACTCAAAAATCCAGGGGCAAGGGACAATGACTTAGCATTAAAAATTAATTTATTATTAATCAGGTTTGTTATTTTGGCACACAGTATGATTATTAATATAAAATCTCATAATAATGCATTAAAATACAATTCATGTGAAATAGTGAGTGGGCATAAAATTTGCATAAAAATTAACTATCTTTCTTATAAAAGCAATTAAAGAGAAACTATAAGATAGCAATCAGGGTCCTCCCTGGTGGCCTAGGAGTTAAGTCTCAGCTTTATCACCACTGCAGCCAGTGTCCGATCCCCAGTCAGGGAGCTAACCCACATATGGTGCAGCAAGCCTTTCCTGTCTCACCCGCTGCTCCCCTCAGCAGTGTACTTCAGTAAATAAGCCTGTTCTGCTCCCCACTCTGTCTCTGGTGAATCCTCTCACCCCCCCCACCTCTGACCTACACCCAAGTTCTTCTATGCATAAATAAATGAAAAATCTTAAAAATATGATATAGTTTATATATATATATACATATATATGTGTATATATATACACATATATAAACATATATATATACTAACACATATATGCATATATGTGTGTATATGTACAAAGATGTCTTTATATATATAAAAAGATGTCACTCACTTAACATAAAAGATAGATCCTTATGGACAAAATGAAAAACACTTATTCAGATGAATAAAGACTTTCATTATTTTAGGATGGAAAGATCAAATGTTTTAAAGAAGCTCTTTTTCACTGGAATACCTATAATACAGGAAGAATTAGAATTAATATCTGTAACTGTATTCCTTATTGAAAAAGGAATTTAGTGTATAAACTAAATTTGGTTAACTGAATTGACCTTATTAATTTTTCAAAGGGAAGGGGCGATGGTTTATGTGTACATATTCTGAAAATGATTTGAAATTGGATTACACAGACATACAGAATAACAGATGCTTAGACTCCTATACTCTATATTAAATGTGAATACCTGAACAGAATAAAATCAAGTTCATGGTAAAGATATGGCATCCATATTTCTATCCAAATAATGTTCATTTTCAATCTGAAATTCCACGAAGGGAATCATGATAATTTTTAACCTATTTCCCAACCTGTCAATCATTAATATGATCACTTTACACAAACAAATTCCATTGTAACTTCCATCTCAATCAGAAATCACATATATTTTTCTAGGATAGCCTAAGATTTTTGTGCCACTCTGTTTTCCTGTTAGAGGTCTGGGCAAATGACGAGATAGAATCAAACACTGTTAAAATCTCAACTTGAAGAATCTTCTATCTAATTACTAGCTCATACTCCTGACACAATGTCATTACTGATAAAGATCTGATAAGTATGAAGGATTAAAGCAAAAATAAAGCTGAGAACAATTAGGGAACTATTGTCAAACTACTAGCAAATACAAGGTATACAGAGATTTCCAGAACAAGATAAGCATTTTACTCCCTTGCTCTTAACAGCTCCCTTTCATCAATAGCTGTAACTGAAGAATACCAGGGTATCAAGAGCCCTGTGGAACCCTATGAAACCCTGAGGTCCCACCTCATCTCACTGTTACTATGCTTAGGTGCATTTGTTAATCTCACATTGTCTTCTTAGCTAGAGCTATTCAGGAAGACTAATCCTATGCTATATATCCCACGGTGCCCTAGACCCCATGTTCTCTGAAGTACAAGTCAGTATGTTATCACTATCCATTATTTCCTGGAGAAGTGATTTATTTATGAAACTGGAAAAAAAAAAAAAAACCTACAAAAAATAACAAAACAACAACTGGAATGTTTTTTTAAATTTCTCCCTCAGATACACAGTCAAGCGAACCTATTGGTTACCTAAGTCTTGTTGGTCATGGCTTTTGAATAGATATTTGTAAAGGAAACTAAGAATGTTTAAACTCCTGATACCAGGAGAAAACAGAAAATGCTATCATAGTCAAGTCCTTTCACTTTCAGTATGTCATAGTGGTCTAGTAGTCCCTGATATGAAAAAAGATACCCCTCGCACCCATCTTTCAGAAGCACAAGGAATCCATTCAACAAATTTTTATGAACAAGGACTATGTGCCAAACCTTAGAAATGCAATGATAAATAAAAAGAAAAAAAAAAATCCATGTCCCTGTGGTCATGTACAGTGTGATGAGAAAGACAATAAACAAAAATAGATAATTCACTCTATGGCTCTACATTAGGTTATTTCAACCTCATTCCTTAAAGACACAAGATTTTGGGGCCTCCCTGGTGGCGCAGTGGTTGAGCGCTGGGTTGTGAAGCTGCCCACAGCCTCTGCAGTGCCAGTTCAATCCCCGGCTGCTGGCGAGGGTCTCTCCTGCCGCCTGCTGCTCCCCTCAGCAGTGTATTTTGTCAGTCTGCCTGTTCTGTTCTCCGCTCTGGTTCTGGTGATTTCTCTCACCCTCCCGTGCTTCTGACTGTACCCAGAGCTTGTATAAATAAATAAATAAATCTTAAAAAATAAATAAATAAAAATAGCCAATTAAAAAAAAAGACACAAGATTATGGTGGCCACTAACTTCTGAGTGGTCAGGATCTTCTTTCTAGTAATTTTCTCATACTTTTCCATTTTATTGTCCATTTCTGCTCCAGGGTTTTTCTTTGCGACTGCATCCAATTTCAGAAATGTCTGC